ATAATACATCTAAAAAAGACAACATAATAAAAATTTCTTAATTATTATATAGACTCTCAATAAATTTTTAAATTAAAAAAACCTTTAATTTAATTTTTAATATTTTTAAATTTAATTTTAAGTTAGTTTTTCAATTAAAAAAGCATTGACATATCGTATTAATTGACAGGAATATAATGACATGTCAAAACAATAATACATCTAAAAAAGACAACATAATAAAAATTAATGATATGGCAGTAAATTTCGACCCAAATACGAAGACATTGCAAAAAAGATGAGACCCACCACCAGTAACAAAAGAACATTTCTTCCTCCCATTCGAACCAAGCATACGCCCCTCTCTTTCAAATTGATTAATGAAGTGCTGTAATTACAAAACAATTTTCAGATCTAGAATCAACTAGCAATCTAATCTATAAACCATATTGTAATACATGAGAAGTTTCACAAGGTCCCATAAATAGAATTCATTTGCCAGCTTAGCCTTGATACCTAATTAATTATTGAATAATAAAATCAAGAAAGTGATATTTTATATTAGAAATTTTCAAAATGTGGTAACTTTAATTAGTTTTTTAAAAAAAGTACCCTTAATTAAAAAATTTTTAAAAGTGATATTTTCGTATGTATGAAATCTCTAATTTTGGTGATCTTTTTCAAATTGAAGTCTATTAGACAAACCATCAAAAGTTAGAAAGAAATCTATTAAGCTTTTAATTGTCAAATATAATGATGGATATGAGAATTCATAATGTTGTTTTGCATTTGATCTTGTATGGATTGCAAAACAATTAATTATTGATGAGAAGGTAATTTTCTAATATTAAAAATCGACTTCCTCCGGTAATGATTAAGTTAACCATACTTTACTTTTCTCTTTAAAAATTCTATTGATTTTGGGCTAAAAAAACAACTTTAAAAATTAAAAATAGTAACTACAAGTCGTGTACAAATAGAATAAGTAATATAAGGAGAAATAGACCAACTCATTTTCACTGAAATTTTTACCTAACTGGAGTACCATCATTACTCAATGACCTACCAAGCCACAAAGAAATCATTTGTAATAAATCCACTTAACACATACTGTTTCTTTTTCTTTTTATTTTTTGAAAAACAAAAAAGAGCCATAGAAGGCACTTGGGCCTTCAGATCTAGTGGTTTCATGCCACGTATAAGTGCATTCCCTCACTCTTAGGGCAATGGTTTGATTTCGGTCCCTTACAAATTTGTTCAAAAAAAATAAAAAACCATAGAAGGGTGGTAGTCTATGTATGTAATAGTATTGTTCAAACGGACGGAGCTTGATCAATATTGAAAGGGGGCCAAAAAATTTTTTTTTTCTATTATATGTAAATATAATATAACTTACAACTCACACTTGGGCTTTCGGATCCAGTGGCATCAGGTTACGTATAAGTGCATTTTCTCACCTTCAGGGTAATGGTTTGAATCCGACTCCTTGTGAATTTGCTCAAAAAAAAATATATAACTTATAACTCAATATTAAAGATGAAGCTATAAAATTAAATTAATTTATTTACTTATGTTATAAGAATTTAAATCTTAAGTCATTTTTCATAAACATTATTCTAAAATTTTTAAAATTATCAACTTATAAATTATGTGAATATTTTTAAAAAGTAAGAAATTATAATTGTTAATAACTTATAAAATAATAAAATATGCACATAAGTCAAATATAGACAATAAGAAAGTTAACAAACAAATCTTTAACTAATAATAAAACATGACATTTTAACTAGGGGTGGGTAAAACTGGTTTCGATTTAAAATTGAAACCGATTTTGAATTAACCAAAAAAATTTGGTTTTAATTTTATGAACCAAAATCGAATCGAAATTTTTATAAATCAATCGGTTCGGTTACTATTTTTATCAATGAAATTAGTTCGGTTTCGGTTTTTATTAAATAAATATTAATCAATTATTTTTTTAATAATAAATTATATTTTATCACATATTTTATCATATTTTGTTATATGTTATCATATTTTATTATATTTAATCTATTTTACCTTAATTTCGGTTTTTGGTTTTTAAAAAATTCAACCAATATCAAACCAAAATTATTCGGTTAATATAAAAACCAAAACAATAAAAACCAAAAATTATTTAAACCGAATCAAATTCATTTTTTCGATTCAATTTTCGAGTAATCCGTCGGTTTCGGTTTCAAATGCCTAGGGCTAATTTTAACTAACAACAAAACATGACACTTTTATTATAAAGAGAAGACGGAACGAGGGAGGGAGCAGAATTTGATCCTAGGAATTTTAGGCTAGCTAAGGATTTGGAAAACTGCGTTTACTATTTTCTTTTTAAAAATGATCGTATTTTGTGATTAATTTTTAGGAATAAACACAAAAGAGAAACAGGAAAACTTTATAACTCTATTTCTTTTTGTTCAATAAATTCTTTGGGATTAGACTTGAGCCCTTAACGTATGTACTAACTTTATAAAATTTCAGGTTTAATATTTATTTATCTACTAAATTTAGATATATATTAATTTATTTACTAAATTTCTCGTAAAAATACTTATATATTAATTTTTTTCAAAAGGTTAGGGCCCCCCCTAGCCCTTAAGAAGCTCCGCCAATATATATTGGCGTGGATTCGTTTAGGTTGTGTTTGGGAACTTAAATTTGAATTTGATGAGTGTAATTAAAATACATGTATTTGAAATACATGTATTTAAAATACATGTATTTTAAAATACATTGTTTGGATTGAATTAAAAAAATAAATGTCAAATACATACATTTTTAAATACATTGTTTGGATATTTTAAAATACTATGTATTTAAATTTGAATTTTTTCATTAAATTTAATTTTTTTCTAATTATTATTTAAATTAATAAAGTCAAAGTTAACAATTTTAATCTTTCAAAATATTATTTAAATTACCTCAAGACAAACAAATTAGATGAAAAAAAGGAACAATGACCTCTACTGATCAATTTGTCATCATATTCTCCATTTTCTGTTCATTTTTTTCATTGTCATCTAATATTCAATTTTTATAAAGATGGATTTATCATGAAAAAATTTCAATATGAAAAAAAAAAAAAACAAAAAACAAAATAGTATCTAAAATGATTATCAATTATGTCCATTAACAAAATAGTTGAGGTAACACTTCTTAATTGCAAAACGAAATAGAAATATAACATTTTTCATTGAAGACTTCTAACAATTATATTCATTAACAAGTAGTTGAAGTAACACTCATTAATCGCAAAATGAAATATAAATATAACATTCTTTGTTGAAGGTTTCCAAGTAAACCATTGAGTTGAGTTTGAAAGTTGAGATAGAATTAATCTTATAAAATTATAACTTTATTTTTTAAAAAAATTGATATTGATACAAATTAATATAATTAATATACAAAAATTATAAAAAAAAATTATAAAAGAACTTATCCCTATGTCGCTTCATTATGAAAATGTAATCTTTTGCACTATTAATTCCAAAATTTCCTACCCAGTTATTGATGCCATCTGGCATGAGAAGTAACAGAAATTCAATTTAAATTCAAATGGAGCAAATCCTGATTTTTCAGGAAAGTATAATCCCCTTAGAATCTCAATTCCATCCAATCACCGAAAAATCCGATTCAAGCAATCCCACCGAGAAACGCAAGCCCCTGCCGAAGCCAACCAAACCCCTTCCTCCTCACCCATCGTTGACAGGGCAAGATAGCCATGTCGCCTCGCAGTCCAAAGCAAAACTAATTGGTAAGCTAAGATACATCACTCTTTTTCCTCGACCCCCACCGCTTCCACCATCAGATCGAAATCTTCCATGGCCAAAAACTCGGTCACCGCCATCATCATCCCTCTGTGTATGTTCCCCTTCTCGCCGCCAAGACTCGATGAATCTGCAGGAAAACTGCCTAAAGCAAACGAAACCCCAAAATCCAAGCAAAACCAAAATCCTCCTTGCACAAAAAACCTGCTATCAAGGAGAGGTTTGAGTGGCCTCATTGCCGTCGGTGAAAGGAGAGAGTGGAGAGGAAATTCATTTCAAAATTGAAATTCATAGGTTTGAGAGTGAATTTGAAATACACGGGTTTAAACCTTTGAAAATACTCTGTTGAAATGCATGTATTTTCTTTAAATTTAATTACATTTTATTTAGGTAAAAACAAACAATGATATTAAATTTCAACCTTCTAAATTCAAATACATTATTTTAAATTCACGCTACCAAACAAACCATTAATCAACTTTTATCACTTGGACCAGGTGGTAATTAAAAAGGTAGCTTAGCCCTTAAACCAAAAGGAACAAGTGACCATTCTTGATGAGATATATTTTATATGTTTTTCTTATTTTAGTCTTGATTTTGTTGTTATTTGAATGAGTATGATGTGGTTTTTAATGAATTTTACATCATTTTTATTTTTTGTACAAAAAAACTTAAATGCATAATAATATAAGTTTTGGGACTTAAGTGAAAATACTTTCAATGTTGAGGTACTATATTGTAAAAAGGGTTGCATTTAGGGACCTAAATGGATGAATTGAAGTTATAAGACCAGAACGCTCATTTTGTAGAAGATGGAGGACCAGATGAGCTATGTTGCCATTGAAGAAATTGCAAAAGATATAAAAACCCAACACGGGCAGTATGTCGGCACGACCTTGGTATGTGTGGACACTGGACACTACACGTTAAGAATTTGGAGGTTTCTTGCCTCGTGGAACTCGAAGCAGAAGAACACCAATGTTGGCTAAAACTTTTTAATTTTTATCTTAATAAATTTATAAATTTTAAATCTTCACTTTATATTATAATATTTTTAATTCTTTACTTTAATAAGTTAATAGCTTTTAACCTCTTACTTTATATTATAACATTTTTAACATTTTATTTATATAAATTAAAAAAAAATAATCTTTACTTAATATCAAGTTATAATATTTTATTAGTTTTATTAATTGACTGTTAACTCTGTTATTAATTGTTAATGTTCATTAGCATTCTGTTAATGGAACGAATAAATAAAATTAAATTTAAATTTTATGTTTTTTATAATGAAATGCTAACGAATGCTTATAGTCAGCTAACAAGGTTAACAGTCAACTAATAATATAATATTATAACCTGATGTTAAGTTAGAGTTATTTTTTTTAATTTGTATATGTGAGGGGTTAAAAATACCATAATATAAAGTGAAAAGTTAAAATCTATAAACTTATTAAAGTAAAAGGATAAAAATATTATAATATAAGATGTGAGATTAAAATTTACAAACTTATTAAAGTAAGTGGTTAAATGCAGATTTTTGCCCACTAATATTCTAGTAACAACACCTTAAGCAATTCTTAGTTTTAAAAGTTCTTATTTTTGACACCGATCCTATTTTTTTTTTAATAAGATTAGTTTACATTATAAATATTTATTTAAAATTAAATTTTATGAGATCTTAAAAATATGAATTGGACTTTCATATTTAATGATTTGTCTTCAAATTTTAGTATTTAAATTTAATTGGTTGGAGTTCAACTCCTATCAACTATTTAAAAAAATCCTCCATTCCCTCATAATTCCTCGATATTCAAAAAAAAAATTAAAGATATAGAGAGAGAACAACAGGAAATTTAATTATAAAAAAGATTAAAGCTTCAAATTATATGTTACTAATTTTACTTATTCGGAAATTTTATTTTATGATATTAATATCTTTATATTTATTATGAAATATTTGAATTTCTTTTATTTCATTATGAGCTAATTTAATCATTTAAAATTATTATATAGTTTAGCCAATTTAATATAGAAATTTATGATTCTTTATATTTTTTATAATAAGATTTTTTTATTTTGTGCCTTTAATGTACATATTAAAAATGTAATAAATTTATTTTTTTATAATTAATTTATATAAAAAATGACAAAAGTTGATTTGAATTTAATTAATTGATTAATTAAAATTATTAATGTTGCGATGATACTAAAATAAAAATTAACTTTTTTTAATCTTATGTAAATTAATTATAAAAAATTACATTTATTACACATTTAATTTAGGCATAGATTAGACAAAATTCTTTATAATATTTGTACTTTCAAACCTTACTTTTTCTTGTAGAATATATATTATTGTTCTTGGTATACATTTTAATAGTTGGTTACCATTAAAAATAATTTAAAGAGTATAAATGAAACCAAGAGAAGTTTTTATGCAATATCTTTTACTAAAATATACTATAAATTGAACAAAAATTAAGAATAAACTAACTTGATTCATGCAATATTAATAATAAATAAATTTGAAAGTTTCTACTTAACCTAGTGAGTTTCACAAGGCATAACACATTTATATATATATATTTTGGAACAATTTTGGCATTATTTACAAGTATATATAGGGGAGGGGGAAATGAGTTTCATGAGGTTCGAACACACCATCCACGAAGGTGAACAGCCTTAACTCAGGGTCCAATGCCACTGAGACAGAACGGACCATTCCACATTTATATTTATTTAAGTTCGCGCAAATATAATGGGTTAATAGATAATAATAAGTTTAGTATAATTTTAAAAAAATAAATGAATAGTTTAAAAAAGTTAGTTATTACATAAATAATAAATAAATATCTTAAAAATATATTAATCTAACTTCTATAATACTTACTATAGTGAAATTATATACTTTAAAATTTTAACTTTTAATATCATTTAATTTAGTTTTTATTAGTTTAATTAATTAATTTGCTCAAATTTTTTAATTTAATTATTTAAATAAAATTAAAATTAATTAATTTTAGTAATTAATTAATCTCCTTTCTTTCATTGTTTATTCCCATCATTGTAATTGAAGTGACTAATAGTCTTCTTAGAGGAAAATTAACTCAACATTTCTCCACCTAATTGAGTTACTTCTCTCTATGATTTGTTGCCAGTACCATTGAAAAGCATACTCATCCCCATCCCAATGGATATTGCCACACAAAAATTGTAGGAGTGTTTAACCGATGTTATAAATAGTTAATTGTTGTAATTATTAATTAATATTTTATAAAATAATTAATAAAAATTATTTAATAATTTAAAGTTCACCTACTAATATTTTTTTTTAATATTGTGGGTGAGACTTGAATCTTACCCTTTAAATTAAAATAAGAAGAATTTTACAAGAAAGTTAGCAAAAGCATTCATAAGTTATAAAGTGAGAAAATCAATTGCATTTGGGTCTCGTGGCATAGTTACTATATGTCTGATCACAAGGAGCACTCCCTCGGTTCCAAGGTGGGATTAGAATCCTTTCTCTCAAAAATTATAACTTGATAAAAAAAAAAGTGATAAAATCAATTAAATTATATAAATTTATTAAATATATGTGTGGCCTAAAAAGAAAAAGAAAAAGAAAAAAAACAAAAAGTGTATGACCATAATTATCGCTCATCCCCGAGCACCCACATTATCTTAAGATAAAGGGTTCGTTTTAACACGAGAGGCGACAGATAACATTTTTGAACCTTTTATCTCATGACTCAAATAGTTATTATTATTATAAATAGATTCTCTTATTTTTAAAAAAAATTACTATACAATGGGGTATATTAGTATGTACTTAAACGATTCATTTGGGTGTATTATTATATTAGTTGATGCTAAAGGCTAAGTTAATTTTATTGTTACAAATATTATTCTACAAGTATACCAAACTGTCACATCCGCAACTGTTGGCTGCATTGGTAGTGTGCACTTAGCCATAGACACCATCATAATCCATTTCTTTGTAGTGATGTCCTCCTTTCTTCTAATTTCTCCATGTTAAAAAAAAAAAAAAAGAGAGTATACCAAACTGCCAAAAAAAAAAAAAAAAAAAAAGAGAGTATACCAAACTGCCAATTAGGGTGATTGTATTCTCATTGATACTGACGGAGGGTATTTGTGAATTTGCTGGAGCTGTGATTCTACCCCACAGTTGTGCATCCATTTTTCTCCGCTTGACAGTTAGGTTTACCAAAACAAGAAAATTTGTTCATCTTAAATGAAGCTTTGATATCCTTTTTTATTGGAAAGCATCAACTTCTTCAATAATTGTTGGAGATTCTAAGCAGATAATCATAAAATAATTTGTCAAAATTTAAAAAAATTAGTATCTTATCAAATCTTAATTCAAGTAATCATTGTTCAGGTAATGTTTCATTCCATATTAAGTTGGGTTGATCCTGCTACAGATGTACTCCCAAGTCTATTATTGGTATTTGCTTGAATTGCTCATATAACAGAGAAAAACAGGGGAAAACAGAGAAAAGCACGTTTATTTTCGGTTAAATACCCTTTTTGATTCCTCTACTATAGAAAAAAGTCCTTTTTTGGTCCCTGTACCGAAAAAATTTCTTTTTTGATCCTTACTGTTCACAAATCCGGCCCCTTTTTAGTCCATCGGTTAAATTTTGGCTGATGTGGCACGTTAATTAACGGAAACACTCATTCCTTTTTTTTATTAAATTATGTGGAAAATCCACGTGGCAAAATTGATGACATGCTAAATTTTTTTATTTTTAATTACT